CGTCGTTCAAAAGAACAAAAAAAAGGGGGGGGGGGGGGTTTGTTGTATAGTCTCCAAAGTATCCACAAACTTGCCCCGAAGTATTCCTTATGGTCTCCTTAACTTTCCACTTCCTTAATCTTTCTCCGGATAGACTAACTGGACGCAGCTCTCTGGCTTCCCCTCCAGTTAACTCTCTCCTCACCACATAGTCGGCGGTATTCAACCAATGGTTTCTCACAGAAAAAGGAAGAGGGAACAAAACAGAGCCTCCTAAGTGCAGTAACTTCAACACATTTATTAGAAAATAATTGAATGCACTTACAGGAACAATGAATGTAAAAGCATCGAGCTGTAGTAACACTCAGCCGTAAGAGACGAAAACTGTATCTTCCCTTGACGCGTTTCGTCGATGGACTTTTTCAAAAGGGATTGAAAAAGGCAGTCTTACTTCAATACCGTTTGCCCTTCCACTGCTTTACAAATGGAGCCCTCAATATTTATTGTAAGGTTTTTTAACAATATGATAGAATTACTATAGCTAACTGGACAGGATGAAGCTCTCAACAATAAATAAACATTTAGGGGCAAATCTATAAACCACTGAACCTTACATTCCTTAATAATTCATTGCAGGTAAATCTTCCAGGTGCTTATGTATTTAATGACAATGATTTATTCAACACCAGTGAATGTTTGGTGAAAGTCACCCTTGCTGCTTTAAATATGCTCTTTAGTGTGGACAACTATCACATATTTATTATTATTAACATTATTAATTACAACATAAATAACATATTATTAATGACAAAATAATAAACAAAAGCTAATCAGGATGATCTTGATTTGCATGTCTATGACTAACTCACAGATAATACAGTAATTTGTAATAATAATGTTTGACTTTAGATAAAGCTACTCTTCAAGGTCAGCTTCAATATGGCTTCCTTTACTTCTCTATTCCTCAAACAGTAAATTATAGGATTAAGTAATGGTGTAATGACTGTGTACATAACTGAAACCAGCTTGTTGTAACTCAGTGACTGTGCTCTGCTTGGCCGAGCATACATGAATAGTGTAGTTGAGTAGAATATTACAACTACAACTAAATGAGAGGCACAAGTAGAAAAGGCTTTTTGGCGTCCACTTGATGTTGGGATGGCTAAAATAGAGGCTAAAATAAAACAATAGGAAATAACAGTAAGCAGCAGAGGAATAAGAAGTATTAGGAGGGCAAGTATAAAGTCTACAAACTCTGCAATTCTCATATCTGTACAAGCCAAATTTAGTATTGGAGATATGTCGCAATAAAAGTGGTTTAGAATACCTGAATTACAAAAGGTGACATGGGAGATGTAGTACACTTTAATTAGGGAAATAACAAAGCCACCAATCCAGGAGATTGATGAAAGCAGGAAACAAGAGTCCCAGTTCATTGTGTTGATGTAATGCAAGGGCCTACAGATAGCCACATAGCGGTCAAATGCCATAACGGTTAATAGCACACACTCAGTGCAGCCCAAAGACAGGAAGAAATACAGCTGTGACATGCATGCCATGAAAGAAATTGTCCCATTTTCTAGGAGAAATATAGCAAGTAATTTTGGCACAGTGACAGTAACATACCATATGTCCAAGAAAGACAGCTGTGCCAGGAAAAAGTACATTGGTTTCCGTAGCTTTGGACTAGTCCAGATAATGACAATGACTAGAAGGTTTTCCAAAGTAGTCAGCAGATAACTTAAAAAGAAAATGAAAAATAAAAAGATCTGTATAGGCCTGCTTGTAGGAAAACCTAACAGATAAAAGTTGTACACGCCCGTTGACAGGTTTCCTTTTTCCTCCATTGCTTGACATGCATCCCAAATCTACATCAAGTTTTTACAGATGAGAGACAATTGTGCCACTCTAACATCTTAGCACCAAGTAACATATGTTGGGATCAGGGCTTAAAAAAAAACAAAAAACACAGCTGTTCTGAAACATGCACTTTAATATGAAATAAACTGGACATCAGAACAAATATTTCAATATATCAAATTGCTGTATGTGTTAGAAAATTAAAGAAAGCATGGATGAAAAAGTTAAAATGGATCAGTCCAGTATAATACTGCAAAAGTAAGTGACTGTGGACAAGATTTTGAAAATGACATGCTCTTATATGTTCTTAGGATGGGCCAGAATACTGTAGCGGCAAAACATAGAAACTACTACTTTAATGTGCCTGTCTGTAACGCCTCGGCCGGTCTAGTCAGGGCTGGGTGAGATCTCAGCTTCACATACTGCGCTGGATGGATAATGGGTGCAGAGTTCACTGGCTACAACTGGTCAAAAGGTCAGCTTCACACCTTACACGAACACCAGGCAAGTGGCTCGGTCGGCTTAATAAGAGGAAGGGCGGAGTCTGATGACATCATCGGATCTCCGACTTAACCCCCGGACGGCCAGGAGCTGCTGACAAGTGAGTGTGTTACAGGATCCCCCCCCCCCCCTTTGAGGGATCGCCCCCGGG